TTCCAGTAGCCCTTCCCTATCAGCTGACGACATGAGGCCCTGAGGCTTTGGCTTCACGGCAGACTGAAGTACAGCAGAGCGATGCGACGGATTTGATGGAACAATTACTTTCTTTTCAATTCAATTCAGTTTATATCTATAGCGCCAATTCGCAACACATGTCATCTCAAGGCACTTTACAGTTCAGCAGATCATAAAGTCAAATTGATTCAAAGTTTTCTGTGTAAGGAAAACCAGTTGATTGCATCGACTTATTGATTAAATGGCAATCCCTCAGACTAAGCATGATTAGCGACAGTGGAGAGGAAAAACACCCTTTTAACAGGAAGAAACCTCCAGCAGAACCAGGCCTACTGGGCTTCAAAAAGACAGAAGCAGAAACCTGTAGAATATAAACATTCCATAACAGTCTATATAATGTCCACATGCTGCTTTCCTTTGGTTCATATAAGCCAGGAATAAGATCCCAGATAGCGAGAGGATTACATTGTTGCTAAAGCCAGAAAAGGTCATCCTTCTGCAGCGAAAGCAGGACAAGGAAAGTAGAAGTATTACTGTGACTTAAAGCAGCTGAAGCAAGCTTGAAGCTAAACTTGCACTTGCAGCACATCTGCCACAAATGGCAGCGTAAATAGAGCTGAGCTAGTATCTCATCACCCTCCATCACACACACGTTCAGTATCCCCGAGATCCTCCAGTCTTTTTTTTTCCTTACTCTGGTTTTTTTTTTGTTTTTTTTTAAACCCACACGTCTAAAAAGACCACCTGAATGTCGCCTCTCTTTGCACCTCAAACATGCCACAACGCTCTGCTGTCCTCCAGTCGCCACAGTGTAACGTACCCCTCACACACAGAGACAAAAAGAAGTAGTATCGCCATGGAAACTAGACTTTTACAGCAAGAGAAAGAAAGAACTCAGAAGGTTCTAGATTTACAGGGTCCTTCTCCTTTACAGCTCTCATGTTTTTTTCATGTCTGTTCTCTCTGAAATGTATTTTTACCTTGCTGTTATGTTTCTGTAGTCATGGTATCTCAACTGCATTAGTTTTCTTACACAGTTTGATGTAATTTGATTTAAATGTTCTCCTTGTGTTATTTAAACTGATTTCTGGGGGTTTGTAAGTTGATGAGTTGTCAAAGAGACACTCAGAAGGTCCTGAAATCCCAAAAACTTTCTGCTGGTGAAGATTCTCATCCAGGTCATAGTCATTTCAAAAAAGTTAAAAAACAATCCACTGGACTCTGTTTCCATGTTTGAAGATGCTTCGCTTCCCATCCAGGAAGCTTTTTCAAATAAAAATGTCAGAGAAGAAGCCAAACAGACCCCATTCCGATAGCCTCGTGAGACCATCCTGATGTCACGAGCTTTCAAGGTTTCACTCGCTAATCAGTCTGGAGACTCTCCGTTAAAGAAAATTTGGAGCCGTTCACCAAACGAACGTCCAATCAGCATTGGCTTTGAGGCGGGTTGAGGTGTGACGCAGTGAGAAGCGCGACAGTTCAGTCTAAAGAACATGGCGGCTTCAACCGATGAAACTAGCGTTAGCGTGGCTATCGAGCAAGTTTTATCGGAATTACAGAGTATTTCTTCACTGAAAGAAGAGCAAAACACTGCTCTGGAGGCTTTTCTCAGAGGAAAAGATGTTTTTGCTCTCCTGCTGACTGATTTCTGTAAGAGTTTGATCTATCAATTGGCTTGTGCCTGGCTTGTGGTTGTGTTTTCGTCGTCGCTCTGTTAGTACGTCATATGCTTCGTTGATCGGATTGGTTTACTTGGCCCGTCTATCACCAACATAGGCCAATCAGCTAACCAGTATTTTCGCAAATCCATCTGGCGGAGTCAGGTGACCATTCCGAAGGGTAGGACCCGTTTGTCCGTTTCAATTTGCATGTTTTCTAAAGGCTTTGCTGCGCTACTGTATAAGAGACTCGAACTCAACGCTGTTTCTGACATTTTGAATTGAAAAAGCTTCCTGGATGTGAAGCGAAGCGTCTTCAAACCCAGAAACAAAGTCCAGTGGATTGTTTTTTAACTTTTTTGGAATGACCCAAAACTTTTCCCTCACTCGTGCCTCCCTTCAACCCTGAGCTGCCGTTTCCAACTCCTCCATCGTGGAGTTACGCTTATTAACCTCATCAATCAAACAAAGAGCCTGAGCCATGATTTTATGCTGTTGATGTTGGCATTATATTTGGTCATGTTTTGCTCTTACCTTCCCTTTTCTCTCCCCCCAAAGATGTGATGTAATTTATTCCCCTCTGCCATGTTTTCTAACTGTGTCGTGCTCTGTGACCCTTACATATTTGCTAAACTGACCAGATAGAGAAAAAAAGGCCTGTATTCATGTTCTGATCCCCCATATGCATAACAGTTATTCTGACTCTGAAGGATTCTCTTTGGATGTGAAACAGTTTATCCTTTTTTTATAATAACTATTTTGCCCCCATCAATCTTTCTTTTGTTGTTTATTTGTGATTGTGGGCAGATAAATGACAGGAACTCAGCAAAGTTTGGCTCATTAAGAGTTTTTTTTTTTCCTAACAGCTGGTGGTTGCTTTAGAGGAATGTCACTGCCCCTTGTTTTGTTCTGATGTTTTGATGTGAGGAGGGTTTGAAGGATTTCTTAACACTCTTATGGAAAAGTTCTCATACCTCTTGAACTTTTTTCACATTTTTGCATGATAAAAACATAAATCTAAAAGTATTTTATCTATTTCGTTATACCTAAGTATAAATTAGAGATGTGCCAATATAAAAAGCAGGGCCAATATATATAACTGATTTTTTTTATGTTTTATTTTGAAAGGATATTAGATTAAAATATTTTTTCCCAATTATTTAGAGAGAAAAAATAAACAATATGCAATTATATACTGTAAAAAAAAAACTTAAAACATTTACCAGGATTTTTTATTAATCAGTATGTTGTGTGGTAAAACAGAGCAGATTGGTTTAAAATATCTGCTTTGCAAATAATCCAGTAATAAAAGCATAATTATCTATTAACCCCAAACCATTTTTTCCCCTTTATGCCCTTCTTTTACACTCTCCATTTATCAAAAATTATCAAAAATCCTAAAATTAGTTGATAATTTGGGTTGAAAATGATTGTGAAAAATAATTTCCAGCGGTCTGTGGATTTATTGCCATACAGTTGATGATTTCTGACTGTCACTGGACCCAACAAAAACCCGTACCCTACCCTTCCTGAAGCAAGAATATGAAAAGGAACATCAGAGATTTTTTACAGTATTAAAATTGGTGTTAATTATAAGATAATTTATACCTATTATTGGCCTGATTTTACTTATCAGACCAAAACTAAAATCCTGATAGGCCGATACAGGTGTTAATTCAGATGACATAGCTTTTTTCTCATAAAAATCTATAGATTGTGTAAAAACTTAAACCGTTTTTCACTTTTTCCAAATAAAAATCGGACATTTTTTTATGTTTATTTGTTTTGTATCCTCTTTTGTAGCTGTTGTACCTCTATATGAATTAAAAAAGAACCAACAAAGCAAAACAAACATGGGAACAAAAAGCTTCCAGTAGATTTATTTGTATGTGTTAAATATGCAACAGTCGGCATCAGTGAAAGAAATGCAAATCTCGCTTAATACAGGCAGTACAATGGAAAGCAATGGAAAAAAGTGGTTGTTATAAAGCAATATTTTAGGCTTTATAGAGGGGCTGTTTAATTCTTAATGGGAAGACGAAATTAGCTAAATACAGCGCACCCCTAAAGAAAACCTGTTAGAAGCTGTGAAACACAACTAATCCAGACACGTTTAGGAAAATAAATGACTCTATAAAACAAGGGCTATAATGGAAAGGTTTAGATCAAAGCTTAATTATGTACCACAGTGGCCCAGTCAAAGTCCAGACCTAACTGAAACTCTATCCACACATTCATATATTTCTCTGTCAGCTCACAGGGATCGAGCTCTGTTGCATAGTAGAACTGGAAACCATTTCATTCTGCAGATTTGCAAAGGCGACATTTACCAAAAGAGCTGCAGCTGTAATTTAATATTACCTCAGGGGGACAGCAAATCATTGTAAAGGTTTTCATATTTGTGCTTGAAGAAAAAAAAAATCAGTGCAAGAATTATACACTTCTTTTTGTCACATAAAAGCCCAATAATTTAGATTTATGTTTTTTTTATTGCAATGTGGGAAAAGGTCAGAGTGCATGAAAACTTCAGCAAGGCAATATATACTTTACTCTCTGCAACCTATATTTTTGAAGTGAGCTTTTGAAAATTAGGGGTAAAAAAAACCTTAATCCTCCTTTTTAAAAGCCACAGAAACCACCACGCTGAGAAGGAGGGGGGGAGAAATAGAAAAAGTTTTTTTTTTTTATAGAATTATATTTGGGACTAGAATAAAGATTTCAGTAAAAAGAGACAATCAAGAGGATATGCCTTTGCATTGTAATGAAGCATTACACAAGAGAGAAGTAAAGGAAGTAAAGGGGGGAAGTTGTTTATCACTATCCGAGAACAATCTTACACAGCTTTCTTTTTGTAATTTTTTTTTTTCATGCAAAAATCATGCGGCCAATTTGTTGATGTAAGTGACCTGAACCTCGTGGTTTGCTATCTTATTTAACCACTCACAGCAGAAACACCTGAGTGCTAGAGTAGGTAAGAATAGAACGTTAGCATTTTAGGACAGGATTTGTAGTTCAACAAATGTTCCATTTCTTAGTATTGTTTATAGTTTACTGATATATTTTGTTAGTGACACAACACATAGAATAGAGAGGCAGATCAGGATATATTACGTTCTTGTATTTTGTACAGCACATTGCAGTTCAGATGTAGTCAGTACAATGTCTTCATAAATAGACAAGAACAGACAGACATAACAAGCTGATGTATTGATTTAATGCTGGTTTTCCTGTTTTCATTTGATCTGTTCTTTTGAAGTTAAATTGGTCTCTCTAAGGTAGTCTCTAACGCTCTGTTCCTTCGTTTTCTGTTTCTTGTCCTAGGAGGTGAATTAGTCTTGCCCATTATAACGGTGGACTCCCTAGACCCCCCCTCTATTGCCACACGTTACCCAGTAATTCCCTCGCCCCCCACTACCTACCGTCCTTTCCTCACCCTACTCGAAACCACCAAAGAGTCCGTCCCCGTGTCCAACGGCCGCCCCCCCTGCCCTTTGGACCAAGAGGACTGCGAGGAGACCATAGAGGTTTCGGGTTCGGGGGAGATGACAGAGACAGATGATGAAGACTATTACAAAAACTCCCCTCTGGTCACTGATAGGACTGTCCTCCCCCCTCCCCCGGCAGTCGATAGTGGGGTCCTTAACCCCCGAGACCGTCACTTCTCTCGCTACCCCATTTCCCAACACCCATCGCTTTCCTCTACCCCCACTGCCAACCCCGACCAGCTCGGACCTCGTGTCAAACCGGCTGCTGGCGGCAGCAGCAGTAGTAGCAACAATATCCCTGCAGGCAAAATGAACACCCGGGACCAGGTGCTGCTGCCGCCGGCCCACCCCTCCTCAGATCCAGGCCACCGCAGAATCCCGGGAATAACATACCCGCCAAATTTCCCCCATGTTCCCACTCCAGATCCCACATCTCCAGAGAGAGGCCTCCCCGGCGCCGTAGAGGTGCAGCAGTCCAGCAGCACCACAGGAATGGTGGTAGGCATTGTAGCCGCAGCGGCGCTCTGCATTCTCATCCTGCTCTACGCCATGTACAAGTACCGCAACCGAGACGAGGGCTCCTACCAGGTGGACCAGAGTCGCAACTACATCAGCAACTCGGCCACGCAGAGCAACGGCACCCTGGTGAAGGAAAAACAGCCCGCCACTGCCAAGACTGTCACCAAGAACAAGAAGAACAAAGACAAGGAGTACTATGTGTGAGGAAGCACCACCGTCACACGCAAGGACAGACAGCGGGTGCATGTAGATATGGAAAGAGACGGGAGAAAGACTGAGACAGAGGGAGAGACATCTAAAACACCAATTGGGTGAGTCAAGAAAAAAAATCAGTATTGTGAATTCAAGTTAACGGCCAAACACAGCGGACAGCATCGCACAGAAGCATTCTTCTCATTTTTTAGACCTTAGAAATTAAATTAAAGCAGAATTATCTACACCCAAATTTGAATTATTCTAGAGAAGGTGCCAACAACAAACACAAAGGAAATGCTGAAGATGCTGGGATTTTTTAGCATTTTAAAAGGTAATAACAAGTCTTCAGCACTTGTAACAAGCATTACCAAAAGTATTTGCTCAATCTTTATCTTTAGCCATTTGAGAAAATGGGTCTTGAACCGAAAAAGTATATGTGAACACTGAAATAGAGCATAAATTAGCAACTAGCAAGCATTTCCCCTAATTTACCACCACCTTGCAGAAATACTTCAGCAGTACCTCGCCTGGGCGTCAACAAGCATCTCTGATCTCAGTGGCGGATCTCTCTCTCTCTATCTCTGATTGGCTAATTCTCTCTTTGTCTCTGCTTGTCTACGTTGCCCTGCTGCTGATGCAACGCGAACTCTGCCATGTTTCAAGCATGTAGTATTCATTTACGAAAAAGAGATCAACAGTTTTTCTTTTTGTGGAGTTAAAAAAAAAAAAAAAAAAAAACGAAAAAAAATAATGACTGATGAACATACCGTTAAACGTAGCAACTGTGTGAGACACCATCAAGCTCCAACATACGGATGCTAACGTGTACGTTTAGCCGCCAAAAACTCAAGGCCAAAGCCACTTGGTCCATCTTCGTTCCAGCAGATATATGTTGTGTGTTTTCGGGACGCCAAGGTGCCCCAAAGTGGGCCAGCAAAGAAACTGTCTTGTTCTTACAGTTACTAATCACAGGAAAAAAACTCCAGCAAACCAGATGAACTGTGTTCTATATATAATTATAAATATATGTATAGACAATGCAGAAACTTATGGACCTATAGCGTGAGCGGGTCTATAAGAAAGTTTGCTGACAGAGCACAAGTAAGATGGAAGGACTTTGGGATTTTTTCCAACAACAACCCATTCCCTAATCTTAACAACCCCGTCCCTTTCACGAACACTATAGCTGATGAAATGCCTCACCGCAAACTTCAGCTACTATCCTTTTTTTTCATCATTTCAGAATAAATGAAAGACATTTTAAGGTAATTGCGATTACTTTTTTTGCTGGAGTTCCAACGTGGAGAGGTCTATTGCAGCAGAAAATATAACAAGACCGCTTTTTGCCCTTCTCCCGCCTGCCTGACTGGACTGATGGCAGCCAAAAGGGCAATACTAACTTTGTGGAAGGAGCGTCCACAAGAACGGCTAGTCCCTGGAAGACGTACAAATGAACTTTAGTATTCCAATTTTCAACTCTATTAAAAAAAAGATAAATCAATCGAACCATGAAAAGAAAATTCCTTAAACAAGTTTGTGAAATGTCTAAATATTTGACTCTCATTCCATTACTGAGGCAGACATGTGTTTTCCCTATTATCATTCCTGTTTGGAGAAAAAAAAAAAAGACAATGGTTCTGGGATACTGAAATTTCTATGTATTTTCTTTTGGTAACTAAACAAATGTGATTTGGGTAATAATACATCATTTCCGATTCCCTGGGGTAAAATAAGATCCTCTTTTATTCCGTTTCTGTCATCCTTTGTGTTTTCCTTCTTCCTTTGTTGTGTCCTGCATCTATTCCTTCTTCAACAAATTGTCCATCTGTCAATCTTTTTTTATTTGGCAGGTTCCATTGATTTCCCCCCGTCATGTTTGTCTGGATTTTCTCCTCCTTCTCTATTCCAAACAGGCTCCTCCCAGTATCTACCTGTTCTTTCTAAATGTTATTGTAAAGTGTTCCAGTGAGATGACTCTAAATATGTGTACATTAACAGAGGGAATACACTTGGTTATATACTTCTTACTCTGTGTCATGTGTTCTTTATGCTGCTTTTTGACTCAAATTTCTTCTGGAGGTTTATTATTTTAGTATGAAGTCAGAATTCTGCCTGTAGGGCACACACCTAATAAATTCTCATATGACTAGTTTTATTCAATAGGCATATATGTAAAATATTCTCCATGCAATTTATTTATTTTTTATGCAAATGGATTCAATACTCCCCCAATATGTCACAACGATGAGTTGATGCTTTTTCTCTGCACTCATGTTATTTATGTGCCTGTAGATTCCCTTCTTAAAATGTATGGACCACTTTCTGTGCACACTTTTCAAAATTCATTTCCAGAGAGAATAAACTGCCTGTGATTGGCTACTTTTCAGTAAATTCCACCTCTTTAGACAGTACTGTTTTCCTCCTCGCTGCAGCCAGAAACATTGGCAAAGCATCTTCAAGCTCATCATTGTTCTATTAAAGATTTACAAATTATTGAAACAAGGTGATCATTAAATATCTATTAATTAACTAATAATAGTATGATTGATACATCACAAAATCGGTGTAAGCTAAGCTACTCGTTTACAGCTGAACGCAGACTTTGACATTTGTAATCAGTGTGCAGCCGCTGATTTGCACTTTATCATTTATGTAAAACATTTTGTTCAGAAAATTGAGTTGATGAGGAGATAGCTTTTAAATATGGAGTCCATTGAATTCAGTTTATTTATATAGCGCCAATATACAACACATGTCATCTCAAGGTACTTTACAGAGAACATTCAACCAGATCATACAGTCAGACTAGTTAAAACTTTTCTATCTAAGGAAAACCACCTGATTGCATTGAGTTATTGACTTGAAAGCAATCTCTCACACCAAGCATGTTTGTAGTGACAGTGGAGAGGAAAACTACCTTTTAACAGGAAGAAACCTCCAGCAGAACCAGGCTCAGCGTGAGAGACCATCTGCTGAGGCCGACTGGGATTCAAAAAGAGAAGCAGACATGAGAAAAAGAAGCAGAGACTGTCAATCAGCTCCACAGGCGGCCTCTTCCAGGAAACACACAGCCAGACAGACGATGCTCTAAGCCAGGTCCTATATAAGAGTTTGAAGAGAGCACACAGAAACAGGAACACACTAAAAAACAGGCCAAGCTCCAACATCTATAAACAAAGATGATGATGGCAGGAGCAACGCTAATATTTCTCTCTAGGGTGGCGTCACAGCCAAACAGGAACAGCCCAGATGAATGTACTATGATAAGAAAGATCAGAGAGAGCATAAAATTAGAGATTGAACTAACAAATACTGCATAATGGGAGAATAGAGATGGAATGATGAAAAGGGGTCCCTATGTCCTCCAGCAGGCTAAGCCTATAGTAGCACAAAAGCAGAAAATAGCTCAGGATAACCTAAGTGTTTTGGATGAAGTAGAAGAAGGTTGAGCCACAGTGGGGCCAAGTCAGAATATGGCTGTTGCAGAAAACAATAATAAACCTGAGGATTTATATCTGCCTGTGCCCTATAACCTGCTCTCCAGCAGAGAGAGCTCTCATTGTAGGAGAGAAAGATAAATATAGACATAGCTGACAAATGGAAGTTTGTAAAGCTGAAGATCTAAGTACTAAAGTTTTGTCCTTTTCACAATTACCTAAAGAAGCACTGACATATATGAAATATTTTCTAGCCAAATGATTGATGAGTCAGAGGAGTCATGCCAGTGTGGTGCAACACTAAGCAAACAGTGTAATAATAAAACAGCAGGAGAAAAACCAGACTTTAACAAAGAACAATAGTTTTCTTTATATTGAGTTTTTTGGCACTGGAGCTGCATATTTAGGCTGAACTACAGAAAGTTGGAATAAAAAAATGCCCTTAGCTGTTTAGAAAAACAGTTTACTTGTAAGATGTATGAAAAACAAAAAGGTATTAATCTTTAAAACTTGTTTTTCAACTTTCAAGTTTTAACCTGAAACTGACTTAAGGCCAAATCAAAACAAGGAAGAACATTGTACATTTTCATAAACGGCTAATTAAAGACCACACAGCAGCAACGAAGATGGTGTAGCATAAATGCCGGACCCTTTGGTGGCACAAAATCACACAAAAACTGCAACACTTGGCAATTGCAGACAGTTTCTGCAAGGTAAACACAACATTATGGTGACAAAAAAGGTGCACGGGGGTTACAGTGGTGGTTTGAAAAAATTTTTTTAAATCTTTTTCTATAAAAAAAAAACGGGTGTGGCTCACATGTCAAAAATGAATGTTTATGCTCTCGCTAAATGCCGACTTCGTTTAGAGACAGAGCTTGGCCCACAAAATACATTTTATCTTGCCTCAATGTGAATGGGACCTAAGAGATCCCCATTTTTAATACCTGTCTTCAGTATCAGTCACAAAATCTCTATCAGGACAAACCCCTCTTTCAAACTGCAATACAGATTTGAAATCCTAAACAACTGACAATTGTACGGAGCCCCTCTGATGACATGGTCAAAAAAAATTTTTAATTGTGGCCACGAAGTAGGCGCACGAAGTAGTATTT